ACAACAGGACAGGAGCCCAGGACCCCACTGAAGCCCTACCAGCTGATCTACGTTATAAGTCACAGTGGCTTCCTAAGTAGCACGCTCTCCTTCCCTGCTTCTCTGCACTAACAATGATGGAAAAACTTGTTTTGCCCGGATAGGTTTTGCCATCATCGCTGTTCCACATGGAGGATGCTCCTAGTAATAGACTGAAAAAAGGTGATAATGGATCATGGATCTGCCAATAGAGATGGACTACTGGGCAGAGGAGGTGTTCAGCACATCCTGCTCCACAGTTACCCTACAGCTTCCTGTTTGCCAGTTACCCAGTGACAATGCTCTGGTCCTTTCCCAAGTCATCCCCCACAACTGATCAGCAGCGAGTGTGAGCATCAGCTGGCAAAGTGCAAACAGCTCTGAATCAAGCTGCTGTCATTGTGAATGGCTCTCAGAGAACAAAACATGCAGAAGTCCTCAGGTTCACCAGAACATGTGCAACCTTCAGGAGCAAGGGCCAATACGCAGAGCAATGCTTTCTGCCGCTGACATTGCTTCTGCATCAGGACACACTAATATAGCACGTCATCTGGAGAGCCTTAAAAATGAAAAAGAAGGGGGATCCTGAATGAACCTTGGTACAACCTTCACTTTTTGAAGACACAAGCACAGAATTCAAACTAAAATAAAGCTTTTCTAAAAACTGTGTGACACAGAAATGATGAGTGATTCAGTCAAGAAGCAACATGCGATTCACTAAAACCTCAAGCAGAAACAGAAAGCCAATTTAAAAAGAAATTCTTCTAATCTGAAATAGAAAGAAAAACAGGATATGTGTGTTAAGACAGTCCGATATCCGCTATAGTACACCCGCTAAAAAGCCTCAGAGATTCACACTGTGCTGAAGGAACCAGATAACATCAGTTGCTCACAGTGCTGTCCCTGGCTTTAAGAGTGTCACAGAGAAAAGAACCAAACTTCTCTGGTAGATGGCATTTCACTGCCTTAAAGACACTCGTTTCTCCTTGCATCTCCTTGGTTCACTCCCCAGCACACCCTCCAGGATCAAATGTGCCAGAGGTCCTATACGGACAATTGTCCTCTTCCCTGGCTGCTCCTGACTTGCTCATGGTAGAAAACAGCAGTATATGGCCGTGTACCTTAAGAGCTGGGGGGGGTGGGGGGAAATCTTTGTTTTGCTGGAGAATTTTAGCTCTGATTTCAGAAGGGCCAAAATTTCAGTTTGATTTTTTCTAGCATTTGCACTGTCAATGTTGGTCTAGCAGGTAGCTGGAGACGGTGCATTAGCTAGTGCAAATGGAAGCAACGATGAGAAAAGGAAAAAAAAAGCTTTACAAACTTCTGCTGAACGCTTGTTTTCTGTAGGAATACATTCATTAGCTTGATGTAGGCTTTCCTTCCCAAATTCTGACCATCAATAAAATCTACATTTATTTATATGGGTTTGAGCCTCCTAGAAATCTGTCTTGGCTCCCTTCCTCAGGCCAAGCTTAATGGCTCAAGCTTGCAGAGAAGCCGTCCTCCAGCCATGTGAAATCTTGAAAGGGACTTAATGAATTAGACATTATTAATATTCTCTTCCAGCATCAGAAGGCAGTAATTAACTCTTCGAAGACTCATCTTAAACACTGCTTTATAACTTTCAGTCCTCAGAGGCGGCTATGTAATCTCATTGTGATTTTAAAGAATACATTTCCAGCAAAAAAGTTCAAATTTCTGGTTCTGCTTTGGAGTATGCATTAGTGACATGAGATGTGCTATAAAGATTTCAGAGCACGAAACAGGATATGCTGCAATACTTTGCAATTACTGATTAAAAGTCACCTCGCCACCCCGGGCAGGAGAGATGACTGCAGGTTGAAAAGCTAGCCAGCACGCTCACTTTATGGGCTCATAAATGCAGTGTGATGGCTGAGCTACCTAACACACAAAAAAGAAAACAAAACTCCAGAGTTGATAATAGCATGCTGAGCAAATACCTTAAGTAGGTCATTCAACATGCCAGGCCTCTAAATGTTATTTGGGAGAGAGAAAATGTTATTTTCCCCTTTCAGCATGACTTTCTCTTCCCTGTCATGTGGAACTAACCTTTTGTGCTCAGTGCTATTATTAATTTATTAGCCTTTTGAACGTCTAAATTGTTTTGCAGTCCATGGACTACATCTAAGTGCTTGTTGAGGGACAAGTCAGCACAAATGTGTGTGCATGTGTGTGCACCCACAGACGTGTATGCGTATTCCAAAGAGCAGACTTGATGAAAGAACAATTCTGTCTATATATTTCTGACAGCGAGAACATCCATTTTCCTGAGCACAGCACCGCAAGGAGTGTATTTTTGTTATAATTAAATGTCAAACCTTACGAGTGATGACTATGTAAAAAAAGTGCTAAGTATATTTCTATTGAAATCAATTAAAGGAGACAATGATTTTCTTTCCATTTAGATTACATGACTTCAGCACAAACTGCTGCAGTATGGAGCAGCTCTGTCAGCCTGGTCTCATTGTCTGAACAATTGCTTTTTGTTCTCCTGATGAAACTATCCTGGACGGTACTGCTTTTCCTAAGAGATGAACTCACTGTCAGACACACCGGTGCCCAACAGGGAATCACATATACTTTCAGTAGATATGAGGCTTGAAACAATTCCCTGAATAACTTTATGTAACAGGACTTAGATCGTGTCCCTGGTGTTGGAAGTAGCATGATCTATTTTGTGCCTAGGAACAATGAATAGAATTTCTGCAAAGCGGGCTCCGGCTCAGTACAACTTACTGCAATACTAGAAGTAAGACTTTTCTCAAAACAGTTCTTGAGTAAAACTGCACAAGACATCATAGGTGGAGTTCATCTGATGTACCCTAGGTATTTAAAAATTAGTGATCAAGGACTCTCTCCAAAGCCAACAGAAAGGGGATGATTCTCCCAGACTGGGCACTGAAGAGGGGCCAGACGAATGCTTTCTGGAGAAAACATTCCTCATGGGCTATAAAGGTGGTCTGTGACTAGCCTGGATGTTCATCACCCAGCTCTTAGTGAAATGAATTCCACCTTGCATGTGTCGCATTGACACAACCTTTCTTTGACTGCCCATCCACTCTCACGTAATGCCCACACAAGCAGCTGACCAATGTTTCCTTTACTTCTGCAGAATCCAACCTTTCTTTAGAAGTGCTGTTCCTTCTTGGTTTGAGTCACTGCCCCCACAGCAAAGTCCATGTACCTACCACTGAGCTGTACAGCAGGTATTGGTACTGGGGACCTGAGCCCCACGAGCGTTTCTACCTGGGTGACTCCCTATGGCAGGGCTCATCAGGGAAACCAATTTTCCTGAAACAAGGTGCATAGGAAAGAAGAAAATCCATGAAAACCCAGCCAGGATCCTATTCCCTGTATGTATCCCTGGACTACAGAGTTGAACTCCAGCACATTACCCTGTCAGGAAAAGATCTATAAGTGGCTTTGCTGTACACAACCTTGTCAAGGCTAATGAGGGAAGGGGAGTTCCAGGAAGCTAGCTGAAGTGACAGGTTCACAGTTTTAAGAAGGAAAGAACACATTTTGGCACAATGTATATGGCATTATCTTGTCCCACGAAATCACCGCCAGCAACGCCTGAGTAGAATTGTCATTGTGGGACTGTAGCTGGTGGCACGTCGCAGGTAGGCGAGACGGCAATGGGAGGTGCTGAAGTCAAGGCTTGGAGGAAATCAGCAACGGAGAAGTGATAAGCTAGAAACCCCAAACCAGCTTTCAAGCCCCAAAGCCCTTCTTCAGGTTTGAAGCAAAGTTAACAAGCTTCAAGCCAGAGGTAAGATGACAAGCTGGAACCAAACCTGATGATAATTCAGCTCTTTCAGGCTCCAGCACTGACAGAGGGGGACTGTAATCCCATTGCATCTGCTTTATGCCATAGGTATTTTGTGCCAAATTTGGTATATTAATGAGCACAAGGAATGGATTAAAAATTAAAACTCCTTTGAAAGAAGCCTTTGTAAGATGCTCCAGTGGCTAAAGAGAAACTAGACACAGAAAAGTAAAATGCAAGTTATGTTCAACTCCTGTTCCTGTAGAGGCTGAAATTGTCTTGTAAAATATTGAGGCAGCCTTGATACATTATCAGGTGAGATGCCCTAGGTACAGCTGCAGAAAAATGTGTTTCAGCAGCTAGAGGACCACAGTTAATGTTCAATAATCTATAAATCATTGTTATGAGATTTCTCTATGCAAACGAAATTTATACAACCCTCATCAATCTTAAAAAAACCATCATAAAGATTAAATTTTGCAGCCGCAATGCGAATTAAAGAATCCCTTAACCTGTTTTCAAGATACGTCCTTATAGCTAATTAATTTTTAGATGGAGTGTTCTTTGAAAGGACTAATGGATAGTGAGCATTGCTGATTGATTATAAAATGAGCAGGAGGGTTTAATAAGTGAGCTGTGAATGTAAAATCACTACCAAGCTTTATTAACCTTGCCATATTAAAATTCTAAACTATGCAAGAGAGAGAAGCAAGTATTAATACAATACTTTCGCTGAATACATTGTATTTCTTTAACATCAATAAGTTTCTCTTAGCCAGTCTATGCCATGCAGATCCACCAGACTGTCCTCTGACCTGTATCTTAGCAGGTGAGAGATTAAACCTCACCTCTGAAGAATCCAGAATCTGGATTCTATCAGACTATAAAATTCGACTTCATGCATTATGCAATGGGGGAAAAAAGCCAAAACCCAGTGACTGCAAAGAAAAGGAAAAGAAATGCAATTCATATGTCACCCTGCCAGGACTGCTTCTCAGCGCTGCAAATCTACGGGAAGCTTTTATTGAGCCATCACTAACGAACAGCAGTAACATTTATTGAAAGACCAGTTAATCTGCAATGACCTGAAAACATCAAGAGTAAATTGGGGATTGCCAAACACTGCAAACAGTCTGCAAGAGGGTGCGATCTCTCGGTGAGAGAAAGGGGAAAACAAAAGTCGTCACCTTACCCGTTTCCTCAGATTGCAGGTGAGCGTGAGATTCCTTGAGAACGAGTTTGCAAAAGCAGTATAAAAGTCCAACACTTTAAGCAAGGCTTCTCGTTTAATAATATGTAAATCGCAGTATGTCAGAGCCCGAACATTGGCACATGCGTGGGCCAGACTGGTTTCCTTCCAGAAGATATCACCAAAGACATCACCTTTACCTGAAAAACAGCAGGACGAATTTGTTAAAAGGTAAAGCTTACGCAGTGTTCTTCACCACACAGATGATTTCTTCCCAAACTGTCTCATGCTTCCAATTATTCCAACATAAGTTCCCAACCGTGAAAACTAATAAGGGTAAAAGTTTTTACAGTGTCTGAGGTACTTGAGTACCCTTACCAGTAGCCTCAGGTTTTTAAGTATTTATAGATCGCTCTGTGAAGTGTCACATAGTATAAAAGCCAGATTGTAAAGGTCTCCCTGTAGGTGAAGATGTAGGTAAGAGATTTTTCAAAGGCTCCTGAATATAGTAAGCGTTTAACTAACGTTCAGGTGATGAAATATTTCCGAGGGTCTATTCCTAAGTGACTTAGGAGACCCACTCTCACAGAAAGCCCATGACATCTAGGTTCCTACATCACTATGGCTTTGCAGCATGGTGCAAGAGTCACCTTCCAGGGCCCAAGGACGACACTTTAAAGGATGTTAACATTTTAAAGGATGTTAACATTTTTAATTCAGCGTGAGTGGCAACATTCTTTCTGAAAAAAACACCAAAAAATCTCCCTGAGACTTTTAACTTCTAAATAACTGGCTTTAAATCTTAAACAGACCCAGAAGTCTAGTTCTAAATCCAAACACATCCACTTAAGCAGAGGCTTATGTTTAAGTCTGTATTTAAATGTCTGCTGAGTAAGAAAGGGTTTGACCACTTACACACCTGCACATACAAACAACTTCAACCAGATGTGAAAAATTACACCTGAAGGCTATTTCTACATTGGTAGGCAGTGCAGCAAAACAGCTGATGTTGAGGACCTGACCTTCACCCTACACATTTTGAGGACTTAGGAGTATCTGTAGTCCAGTCTCATAGTCAGAAGAGCTCCAAGGAGTAGTAGTGTATGAGATGTGTTGCTCTGTGACTTCCAGTTTCCTTCCCTCTGCAAGGAATTCATACCCCCAGACAGCCATGCTAGACACCGAAGCAGGACAAGTGAGGAAGATCAGGACATCAGATTCAAAAATCACATTCCTGACCCAACCGAAACACCAGCATGGACGCAGACTGGAGAGGCTCTTGCAGGTTCAGATCCTATGGTTGCTCTGAGAAGAAGCAGCGGCAGAAGCAGAAAGCACCTTGAAGGATCCAAAAGCTGCCTCTTGCTGCCCAGCTGCTCAGCAGCCACGGGCTGGGCAAGGGCCACGGCGTGCGGTCTGTGGTTGACACCTCAAAGCCCAAAGCAGAAACCATGGTACAAAGGGCATTTTTTGTTTCAGCCTCCACTGATACCCAAGCTCTTTATTTTAGCAGTTATTAAAAGGAAACTAAAATCAATCAGTCAGTGGTGGTATCGCTATTGATTTCAGGTACCTCAAGCAACCTCTTGGTGAAGGTTAGTGATTTTATAGTTTTGGGATAAAAAAGGTAATACATTTTAATATTTCCTCTTCGTTTCACTCAACTCTATTTTGGGAACACACACCAGAGTAATAATTTATCCAATCTTATTGCTTTTTGGGGTCAGAGGCTCTATTTATCTATTTCCATTTCTGCTTTAGGTATTGTACCCACTAAAACATAGCCAATGTTTCTCATGTAGAGTAAAATAAAATGTGCAAGTCCTTATCTTCATTTCCTTGTTTCAATTTCCCAGTAAAAGTCTGTATAGGAGAATCATCCCTTTAGTAAGGTTATAACTACATTCTCATTGAACTGCTTTTAAATAATTCTACGCATTTTGATGTAATCAAAATTAACTACAATACATAATACAGATGGTATAATTTATAAAACAAGTTGCTTTAAAATGCTTTCCTTATCACAGAGCATTTCCTAGTAAAATATCATTTATCTAATGTACTGTTTTGAAATTACCCTTTGCAGTTAATTGTCCTCGTCTATACCCACAGTTCAAAACCTGGTTTACAGATATACTCAGCATGCTCAGTTACATAATTTATAGAAAATAGACCATTTCTGAAATGCACAAAATTGCTTAATGGATTTGCTCTCTGAGGTGGACACAGGACAGAATTGAGTCCTGCTTTCAGCAGCTACAGACTGCGGTTAAAAAGACAGAATTCAGTAATAGGGACTATTACGATTTTCTCACTGAAATGTGAGCAAAATACTTGTTTTCTTCCTAAATTTAAGAAAATAAATTTAAGGTAATACACAGCTAGTTTAAGCCAAGGGGGATGCTCACTCCAAAACTCTGTACAATATTGTCTTACAGAATGTGTATCAAAGTCATGGATAAATTAAATCACCATTCATACACTTGAGAAGGTCTCCTCATTGTCTTCAGTTCCGTGAGGCGGTGAGCTGCACTGGGTTCCTCACAAAGGCTGGGACATGGTAAACTGGACCTATTTACACCTCCATGAGCCATCAGTCGCTGGATCTGAATGGTGAAGCTATAAGCTCCTCTTACATTGTGGTTTGTTCTCTTCAGAAAGCATAAAATCTTGGAAGCGTTTAAGGGTTCTTGAATTTGACGTTTTCCCCATACACTTCTGAGTCTCTTTTGCTTGTTATAAATGTGCTAAGGAACATACTGAACGAAAACAAAACCAACCAAACTCTCCAAAACAACATGCCTTTTCTCATAAATATAGAGATTAATGCACTATACTTCATCCCTATTAACTGGAGTTCACTGAGTAGAGAGCGGTAATTATTCATTCAAGTTTAATCTTACATGGTGCAACTAAACGAAAGAAACCTTTCAGGGTTGCAACAGAAAATTTAACTGATAGGTCTGAAACACCAGCTACGCAGAGGCACGTATATGTTGTACACTTGCACAATGTCCACACACCTCCAGGGAAAGCCAGGGCCAGGCTGGGAATACAGAGGCGCTGGGGGCTGATGTAGCCTGCAGACTTTTCAAAGCCTCTCTCTAGAGATTTCAAGAGGTCCCAGCATGTTACCCCGAAATCGGCACTGCCTTGAGTCCTGAGCAGTCTTAACACCTCTCCTGAATGGAGGCAAAGCTCTGGGAAGTCCTCCTGTTCCTGCTCTCACAGCACCTGAAGCATCGCTGAAAAAAGGAACACCGTAAAATTAGAGTGGGAACTGCTTGCATCCATTTTGCACTTGGTGTGAGGAAAGGGAGTCAGGATTTGGGTACTGCTGGATCAAAGCTGGCAGGAACATGAGTGTAAGAATTTGGGAACTGAAAGAACCACAGAAAGCAGGATGACATGTGCAGGATGTTGGTGACAGGCATAATTTTTGCTGAAATAGCTACACTGGTATCATCCCAAATACAGACAAGAATTTGCTGGTGTATTATGTACGTATGCCTGTACATAAAACATAGGTACATATTCATCCATGTTTGTATACAGATTTAGAGACATCATGTAACCGTGTAATAGATAATGATACTTCTATACACTATTCTATCTTTTATATTATGATAACTTTCCCATACAGAAGGCAAGGGCAGGTGTTCTCCACAGCCTTGCACCGTCGACTGACTTGCCAGCTTGTGAGACAGTAGCTCACGTCTGGACCTTTCAGGCAGAAAAAAATCTTAAGGGCCTTATGAAACTCCCCAGGAGCTTGCAAAGGGAATGAAAAAGTCCTTGAATGCAGAGAGGAAAGATTCTTGTTAAACAACGTCTCAGAACCCATATATATCTATGTAAAGGCAAAATTTATCTTCCTCCAGAAGAGGACAGAAACTGAGCTAAGAAATATCCTAGTCAACATAAGAACTTGATGGCACCATTGGGAGAAAGTTTGGGCAGGCAGTGAAAGAATAAGTTCTTGGTGGGAAACAGCACTGAGGAAAAACCCATAAAAGGGACCAAGACTTCTTTAGGTGATAATGTGTTTTTCTATGCTGTGCAGTCTTAGCTAATAGACACTCATTTTAGAACATCTCCAAAGTCCCATCAGTCACACTAGCAAAAGCCAGACATGATGAATAATGCAGGCTTTCCATCATGATACATCAAATCTTCTGCTGCTTACGAAAAGCAAAGGCTGATTTTGTTGCAGAATCAGTTAAAACTGTATCGTGTAGAGAAAACGTTCATCTAATCAACTCCAGTATCAATAGCCACAAAGTGACAGCAGCAGTCACAGAAGTGGAGGTCAGTGACCAAATATCAAGTCCCTGCAGCCATAAATACATGTACTGGTATGCACGTTCATACAAACACATCTGCCTGTGTCTATACATCTGTGGTGAAATCTCTGACCGTAGGACAGACGTATCTCAAACTGATGTCGAAATCCAATGAGCAAGGAGGGAATCAGCTCCTGTTACCCACAGCAGCACACAGCCTGTGATGGTTCAGCAAGGAGGTAAGCTCTGTAGCTTCTTGCCACAGGACATTGGGGATGGTTGCATAGGTTTACAAAATGATGGGATGTATTCATGGAATAAAATCTATCTGTGGCTATTAAAAGATTACGCTCTGGGTGAGGAAGACAATTGAAACACAGTTTAATGGAGGGATAGAGAATATTCTGAGAGGTATCACTGTTTGCTTACTTCATCTTCCTACTTTTTCCTGCACATCCCCTATTGGCCATTTGTGGAGACAGGCTACTGGACTGGCTGGATTTCTGGACTTAGCTGATACGAGTTGTTTATGTCTGAAGAGGGGATCTGGAGAAGATGGGGGTGATGTAGTGGTGCAAATTCATCAGCTGTCTCCTGCCAGCTGGGACATCATTGCTTCCTGTAAGCACAGCCGATGATGTGCAGAGATGACTACTAGGCTGTGAGCAAGGGCCCCTTGCCTCTGTCAATGTTTTAGCCAAAACCTCAGCCCTTCCCTGAGCATCCAGAAAGGCCTGAACTCCCTTGAAAATCAGACCAGAGCCAAGCTCTAACCAGTCAGAAATCCAGCTCTACAGCACTACATATTAACATGTAAAAGGGCAGAATGATGATCAAAAACAGCATTTCTGGCACTTGAGAGATGGCCAAAATAGCCAGCAAAGAAACAATAACAAGAGACTGTGCCAAAGATCCAG